AACTGGAAAAGGATGGAGAAGAAAATGCTGAAGCGCATTTGCAGATAGTGATTATCTGGTGTAGAATCAGAGATCTCAATGAAGAGTGTGAGGACAGAGTATAATTTAATTGAGAAGGAGTAAAGAAGCTAAAAAGCAGGAGAAATTGCATGACGCTTTCCTTGCAGAAGCTATGCTTGTTACGGTATACCTACATGGCTAACAGGCAAATGCAAATCCGATCACTCACAAGAGCAAGCCCACAACAAACGCACGGTTCACACCAAAACTAACCCAAAGAGATTCTGAATTGACCTGTAACTGTTATCTCTTTGTCACACGTTTTAATGCGATCATCCTTAATAATTAAAAGCACTTAGGTGCTCACAAAATCCCCTCTTAACAACCATGCAAAGCAAGGAAATTAACTGAGCAATCTGACAGCCTGACCCTGTACAGACAACCCCTAAGGATTTCTACAGCAACCAGTTAACACCAGTTCTTTCGGTGGCGTTCAGTACTGAAGGATTTGCTGGAAAGCAGCGACCAGAAGGCAAGCAGACTGGTGTGAACCGTGGAATCTCAAAAAGCTCATTTCTCTCCCATGCACAGTGTATGCCAAATCTTAAAATTCCTGCAGCATCCAGTTATGAAACTACAATAGAAGAGAAAAACAGATGGCTGAAGCCTTTTGGGAAAAAAAGCTTAAGCATTACTTCATTTCCAAAAGAGAAAGTTGTATATTTGAAAATACAGAACCTACTTCAGACCATACCTAATTGATACAAAAATAGGAGATTTGCCTCATGGAAATGAAGCCTGTCTTCAGTTAAGGCAGCATACAAGAAAAGTTTAACCCTTTTAGAACATCGTGGCTCACTGTATTTTTAAGCAGGATTTAAAAGCAAAGCAGTTCATATAGGAGATGACAGGTATTACAAACATTGTAAAAAATAACGTATTTCTTTATCTCTAAAGCAACTATTGAATGGCAAATCCTGTAGAAAAGCCTTCTTATGCTTATTCTTTTCCAGAGTTTTTAAGCAGTTAGCACCTACATTCAGGTGAGCAGTTTTCTCGCTCATAAAAGCATCCAATGGACATCATATTAGGAACTTGGCAACCTCAACTCTGTAAGAGTTAGGCCATTCTCTGTGGAAACCAGTCAATACTACACTTGAAGCCCCTGGTTGGGTCCCTGACTTGTGAGACATCACACAAAAATAAGGAAACATAAAAGCCTTCCTAGAGAGCTCACATGTTCAGCATTAGGTGCTTCAGCAGCTCTGTAAAACAGCTACCACAGCTTCAGGTCCAAGTACTGAAACTGATCTCTGGTCCAAAAGAGCATTTTCCTCCTATGAGGCTCCTCTGCTGAGCCTGTGCTTCAGACAAGCCTTGACTCAGTTGCCTGAACAGAGGCCTCCGGCAGCTGAGAAGCCCCAGGGTACACAAGAGATGTACGCCAGGATGGCAGGCTTGACACAGGATCAACAGGAGATCTGGGATTCTCCAAACTGGCAGCTGGGACTGGCAGGAAACCCAAAGGCATCTCAAACAGCGCTAGACACCAGTGTTCAGGCAACTGAACTGGGTCCCCTGTGCAAGTCACAGCATTACACCTGCCACCGATGCCCAGCACACTCTTCTCCCACATCGCAACACTTGCTCCGACAGCACAGAGCAGCAAATACAATTTTTCTTTGTAGAAGCCCAAGCAAAATGCATGAGACTGATTTCTGGTTTTATTCAATGGCTCTTCACTGAGGAGAAGGACTAAATTAACTCTCTCCTACCACGCATAGTCCTTCCAGGCCAGGATTGCAGCTCATTGGCAAGGCTGGCTAGAAAATCCTGCGCTGCCCCAGCTTATTCCAAGTGTAAGTGGAGGAGGACACGCTCCAGCACTGCCAAGCAAGTGCCTTTCAAAAAAATCAACTGCTTATATGATTAATGCAAAGCACAATGTTGTCACAGTAGCAGCAGTCACTAATCCATATTAAAGACCAAGACTACATTTATTTATTTATTTTTAATGAAAGGCTTTAAATCAACCAACTGCTCAATTTTTCAAAGGTACTGAGCAGCCACAATAATTAGATCTGGGTCAGCAGGAGCAGCCAGAATGCCACAGAAGCAACTCAGTCCTGTTAATAACCTGAAAATAAGGTTTTTCTAATGAAACAGTGACCACACTGGACACTTCATCACAACCTGTCCCCCCCAAATGCACCACCAATGAAAAGCAATCATGTGAGAGTGGCTGTCTTTAATCATTAGTAGGGATAAGAATCAGAAATTATAGAGAGCAGAAAAAGCAAGGAAAGGGAGTTTCAGCCTATGCTGGACAAATGCTGCTGTACCTAGAGATAATCCTTTTAAAGAGTGAAGCAGCAACACCAGAGTGGTAGCGACTTCCCACACAGCTAGCATAACTCCAGAAAAAAGAGCAGGAGCTATTTTGAACACTAAGTTAAAAAAAATTCAAATCAATACAAGTCCAGAGGAGACAAAAAGTATTAAAGCCAACCAGAAATTCACCCAACATTGCAAACCACACACAATCAGTTACAAAAATATTCTAAAACACAAGTCATTTTCTGAAGAGTTAGACATATGTAAACCTAACAGAAGATAGCAGTTCACAGACAGGCACCCAGCCTGTTTTGGTCATGCACAATCCTTGCTCACAGACACATCTCAGTTCAAGTGTGTTTATGACCGCATTGTCATTTATTTTAAAATATGAATGGAGAATTCTTTTCCTCCAGAAACACAGCATTGTTAAAATGCCAGTACATTAAAATAACGTACTGCTTACTACATTTCAATCAAACAAACTACAGACTACAGCACTGACACTTAATGTGTATTAAGTGCTTTCAGCAAGAACAGCATATGGAGTTCATTTCTTCTGTTTTGTTCTTACATGGACCAAACTCAGAGACAAGCTTTAGAAATGGAGAAAGCAGCGATTCTGTCAGTATGTGCAAAACTGTATCTTCTCCAAAGTTAAGGAAAGACTTAGTTGAAGGCTCTCAAAACATAGAAATATTTACCCTTTTGTTTCATATAGGGAGTTCCACTTACGGCACAAGTATCATATTTTAGCCTGAATGCTTAAAGAACACTTTTGTTAAGGTTCTCCATACAAGAGGAAGCAGAATAGAAAAGCCTACAATCAAACGACTGCGTGAGTGATGTTTTTTCCTCTACTGTTATTTTTCCTAGAATTCATCCACATTTTACCACCATACTGTTGCTTCATCATAACCAACACAAGCACTGATCTTGCCTATATTTAAATTCAAGAACATAAAATGAAGGTTCAGAAAGACAACCCGTTTTTAAAAATTAGTTGCGTATCTGAGGTTTTGAAAGGCTGTTTCACTACTTCACACACAGGCATTTTGCTAGGTGGGTGCTCTAGTTTATGATTAAACAATAAGCTAATTGTTTCTAAAATAACAAGATCGTTCACAAGAGAACTTTTGTGTGCGACTTTCTCTTAAATCAAGTGAAAGTTAGCTGCAGATCCAATCTGAACATTCCCCTGCAGCATTCATACTTTAGTGCCGAAGCATTCTGCAAATTCTCAAGCAAGGAGTGAATCAAAGTGAAAATGAAAGCCAAAACAGGCTAGTTTATGCAAACAAAATATAAAAAGCAATAAACACAACTGCTGAAATAAGCCTAATAAACCAAAACTACTGTGGAAAACTCTTTGGCCTGAACTAGACAGTAGATCCCGTGAGATAATCAAGACAGCCTCTTTCAACTTTTAAAATGGTTTTATTTGTAGTTTATTCTGTGAAAGCAAGTTCAATTTCCAAAATGATCCCATTTCTTAATCATCTTTCAAAACATTTTAGGCAAGAAGATAACTTGTTAAAAAAAAAACTTTTAACCTGACAGTGTTCCTTTAAGACAGAGCAGCGAGCAGCCTTCCAGCATATTTGACAGAGATTTCCAATTCCAAGAGATAGAATTTAAATTTGTAGAGGCAATTACTCATAACCAGTGAAAGCAGCCAATGCAAGTGCCAAACTTGCCAACAAGAAGAAAGGCCAACTATTAGAAAGGAGGCTGCAGTTTATTACAAGACAATTTAAACATCTCAGTCCACGAGGTCTGGAAAGTACTTTCTTCGTCCCCTGACGCTACAGGCTCACACCAACATGAAGAATTATGTCAGTAACTTCAATATTCCAAACATAGAAAACAGCACTTAGGTATCTGTATAATGGAGATCTTTGCCTGACTATTTAAAAGCTGCTTCTAGTCTTCCCTAGCAGATTTATCTAAGCTCATTTTGCACAGGAAGGAAGATGCGCCAGACCCATACCATTAACTGTTAACTGCTGTCTAGTCAGCTCCAAAGCCATCCAACTGGACCACCACTGCACAAAATTCTTGTCTGACTAAACAAATACCTTAAGACAATTCCCAAGGATCTGTCTCTTGCCTCTTCCCATTAAAAGATGGAAAGGAACAAGGAAAAGAAGGAGAGACAAGACATCTTCAGGCAAAAAAGTCAAAATCGAAATGGGTATTTCATTTCATCATATTCACCCCAGATTAAAACACCACCATCTTCAGGACTGATCTCAAATGCCTCAGTCAGCTAACGACAGTGTCAGCAGATAACACTCAGCACCAAGAGTGGAGCTGGAAGTTGGAAAACAGCTCCCGGGAAATATTAAAAAAAACACCAAACCAAAAAACAAAACCACACCGCTACGTCACAGATGCCGAGCTAATAAATGCACCATCCTCTGCATGATAACAACAATGCCAGCTAAGAAAATCAGAGTACAGAACAAAACCAACAGGTCCAAGATAAGTATGCAGGCAAAGCAAGCACTCATCAAGAAAGACAAGCACCCCACACAGCTGCTTCTGCAATGGGCAGACAAGACCAATGCACGCACACCAAACAATACAAAATGAGCAACATCCTTCCTATTTCAGCACCAGCAACTTACTCCACCATTTGTGCAACAACATGAGCTGCTTCTTACCATTTTTTGGTGCACTCGACCATCAACTCCTGGTAAGAGGCCACAAACTGGAACTTGGATGCATGTTTCCCAACACGCTGCAGTCTTTTCCAAACTGAAGCCATGATGGTGAGAAATACCAGTCCTCTTACACAGTAGCAACTGTTCTAAGCAACTTAGTTTTAAGAGTGTGTGCGTGCTCGATACTAGCAGATTTATATACAGACACAGTAAAAACAGCGCACAAGGAACTTGATGGGATGTCTACAATTCATATTCTGCCTCTCCCTTCTTCATGGTAAATCCCAGTCTAGCTGAATGGCTCATCACTGGCCAGGAGCAGCATGCAATAGGAGCAGGCAGGTAATTGAAAGGAAGTTCTCTCATGGAATCATCATTCCTCACGCAGTAGATGATGTGGAGACTGCAGGACTGGAAGACAAATAAGACAGGGGGAAAGAGCATTGGTTGATATACTCCATACTACAGTGCTGCAATTGCACGTGATCTCATACCTTTCAAACAACTACAATAAACCACAAAAACATACCCTCTTCCTGTTGTCATCCCCCCCTCCAATTAAATAAATAAGTAAGAATGCTGCAGCAATTTCAGGAATGCAAACAGCAAGTCTGTTTGGAAACATATCAACATGTCCTTTTATCAGCACCATCATAATTGGCAACAACAACAAAAAAGGGCAGGTCAGGGCCACACCGTATCCTTATGAAGCATCTCCGGTAAGCAATGCAAAGTGGCTGAGGTGCTGCCAATATGCACCCAGAGGGAGGGACACAGGGAGATGAAGACAAGTTCTTTGTCTTGATGACAAAAGGTGTAACAGTTGTTTCCTCTCACACACACACCTCCGGCTCGCATTTCTCTTTCCAAGGAGAAGGAACAGCCAGGAAGCCAGCAAGGGAGTGTTACTACTTAAATGCCTTTGCCAGAGTGAGGAGGAGGATGAAAGAGGAAGGGGCATTTCCCGAGCCCTAGCTGCCCAGGATTCCCCATCTTCCTCGCTGCATCATATTGAAATGGAAATGCCTCTCCATCCTGAACTGAGAAATGCTCATCGGGGAGGTGAAAAGGGAGAGGAGAAACCCAGATGGGTCTTCTCCCTCCAAAGGAAAGCAGCATCTCTGCTGGGTACGGACTAAAACGCCTCTTAATTAGGAATATGGGGAAGCAAGAGGTGGCCGCACCTGGCGAGAAGGCAGGGTAGAATGGCATCAAAGCTGGCAAGGAGGCAACCTGGCGTCCAGGAATGCACCCCTGGAGGGGGCCGTCCCCACGGGCGAGGAGCGCCCCCCTCCGCCTCACCAGCCCCTGTCACCTCAGCTCCAGCCCGCTGGAGCAGCGCCCCCCGCCCCCCCGCAGCCGTTGGCCAGGAGCCGCTGG